TACCAGTAGATCAGCAAAGACACATGTTTAACTGTCAATACATATTGGCATATTTGTCTTATATAGAAGATTCAAAACCTTTCATTGTATTGTTGTTTTGTTTGATTGTGTTTATTTAAGAAGAAACACTATGATTTTGATCACTTAAGGTCAGTAATAAGGACAAGTCAAGGAATGTCCTATCTACTTCTACTTCTACGACGATACTCAGCAGGATCCATAAGTTAGGATGTAATGCTGAGGAATAAACTATCTAGTTCTTGGTCTAGATGCTGGGTGGAAGCGCTCCGGCCCTTGAAGCCCTCCAGTGAAGTAGCGTCAAAGTAAGAACTAAGAACTAAGATTACGAAAATCTGATATCACCAATGGAAACAGAAACATAAAATTACCCAGAGATGAAATTTTCTTTGGAACTAGTGGTAGTGGTACGAAATTGTGAAAATATTGACAAAAGATCGGTAAATTTTGCAATCTTTTGCGTCCGTTCCGAAAAATTATCAACTTACCAATAAGGGTCTGAAAATCTTTAATTTGAGAGCAGATTTCCTCAAAATTGTAAGTAAAATACAAAAAATGTGGTACTAACCGATTGTAGACGTGTCTAGACCATGATATCTTGCCTTGCAAATTATGATATTATTATTAGAGAATCTAGTCTAGACTAGATGTAGTCTAGATCTAGTCTAGGCCCTATTCCTTATTTTTGATGGATCACATTTTTCGATAAATCAACTGCAGATCTAAACCCACGTGTGTGACGTTAGGTGTCGTTGTTTTCATGACTTTTTTAGATGCAGCGCGCACGCACGATCGGACATCAAATTTTTTAGATCGCAATATCTCCGAAATCCTTTAACGATAAATTTCTTAGTTGAACGAATCTGTAGTAACACAACATGCCCAATACAACATATCATCCAGAAAATTTTAATATTTTGCATAATTTGTTAATTGAAAGACATTTTCAATGTGAAAGCTGCATTAAAGTCTTATTTGATAGCTAGAATGTCCAATAAGTACATTTTCAGTGATAATGGTCAAAGCAACTCACAGAGTTTTGTGCATAAACTTACTATGCCAAAGAAAATCACATTGTCTGTGTCCAATACAACATATAATAATTTGGGCTCTATCTTGTCAAGAAAAGGAAATTTATAGTTGGTTGTCTTATCTTCATAGGGCCCCCTGGTAGTACTATACTATGACAAATCTCCACTGCTGATTCCTATTTGTTACAGGATAGAAAATGTCGCCCTCTTCCAAAATAAATCATTACAATATGGCAGAACATCAAAGTAAAATAGTAACATTTTTAATAAGGATTTCTATCAAAAAACATGAACTCTCCTCATTCAATTACATCCAGAAATAGTTAATTCCTTGGCTTGGATCTAGCCTTTCATGCTGAATTGACTATAGCTACATTTTAAAACTGCAATGAGCAGGGTCTTTGTGATATTAATAGTTAATCAAAACCATAAAATACATAACTAATCATATTTCCTATGTAATGAAACTTTCCAAAGGTTGCTATGCGGCTCATTTCAAATTGAAATTTTATATTCAGTACTAAACAGCACCTTTATTGAGTGATTTTAAGATCGAATTGCACCTCCATTTCCCTAATCATAAACACTGTAATACTATCCTCCGCTACTTCACAACTCGATGTAAATACACAAGAGACTGGTCACGGGGTCAACTTAGGACAAATATCCTACTCCATTCATACCTAGATGGACATGGATTTAGTTCTGTACCCGGCTTTCATGGGTACTGTGAGTGGTATTCTGTTCATTGTATCAACAGCGTGAACTTTCGATTTCATGGTAGCAAGCTCGGTGTAAACTAAAACCTAATTTGAATCATGTCTAATCATATAGCAGCAGGGGCATATATATCCAACAGGCACAGGGGGGAGGGGGCAGTTAAGAAAAATTCTGACAAGCAGTAAAAAGTTTAAAAATTAAATTGGTATAGAGGTGTTGTGGTCTAGTGGATAAGTCAACAGACTGTGGATTGCATGGTTGGTGGTTCGAGTCCCACAACAGCACTATAAAGTTCTTTAGCAAGTCATTTATCTACATTTGCCACACTCGACCCAAGTGAGGTAAATGGGTACATGGCAGGAAGTAATTCCTTGAAATGCTAGAGTGCCACAATGGCAGCCGTGCTAAAGCCGGTTTCATAATTGTATAGCAGCGCCAGCAGTGTCAAGTTCGACAGACATGAGCCTATACAAAATCCCACTATTATTATTACTATTTTTATTGTTATTATTATTATTATCATTATTGCATTACCGTACTCAGGTCAAACATAGTGCCAAATGGTATGATTCCTATGTATGATATATGATGTTGAATACAGACACGTTTCAATACAGCCAAACCTGTACACCCACTTGAACCAATCCAAAGAGAATTTAAATGCTGAACTAAAAATATATAACAAAATTGAAGAGTCATTGATAAGCTTCTTGATTGTATGTGGCAGGGCATATGAGCAATAAACATTCCATAGAACATACTGATTAATGTATACAGCCACGGCATATTCACTGCGACATAATGGGAATTGTTTGAAAACGATCCTCCTGATGTTCATCATATAATTATCTCTCCCTTTCATACAATTTTGTCATTATTGGACTATCCCTAAATAATTTTTTTCAATTTCTATTTCATTATTACTGTATATAGTCTAATATTGACGCCATATCAAAACTTCCTGCATGCCTACGCATATTGCACTCTTGGGACTGTTATATAGATCTATTCATATCAATGTTGATTGTTCGACTGCCAATACCCGACCACCCACTAATCTCATTTACAGAATACATTATTCTAAGCCAGCAATTAATTTACATGACTCAGACTACTGTGGATTATCTACTTTGATGTGGGTATTAGAGACATCTTTCTTTTAAAACACAGGCCAATATTTACTACTGTTTGCAAAATAATACCATAAATGTCATATATCTCAATAATATGTCCTTGATTATATAGCTTAAACTGGTAATTAAACTTCATTCCTTTTTTGATAGGCTAAACATGATGCGAAAATTAGACCTTTAGAGCTTTCAATTACTACTCAAAATCATTCAATGAGTATGACGTATTAATATAGTCTATCCCCTCCCCCCCCCCCCCAAAAAAAAGAAAGACATTGTATAAATACATTATATCGATATACAATATCAAAATAATGTATTCAAACTATAACAGAAATCACCATAATTACGTACAAGGGTTAGGAAATGAGTTGATCCACAACTATGGACAATTATTGTAATTATTATTTTTCTTTCCATTTAAGTTCTTGATATTCTTTTATGCATCCCATGGAAAACATTCCAAGGCTTTTTTTCTTCAGTTTACCGACTCCGTTCATTCGCTTATAAATAGTTCTCTGCATGACAATATCTTCAAACCACCACCAATGCTCATAACACGCTTGAGGAAATGTGAACACATGTACTCCATTCTTACGATCTTTGCATTGGCTTCCAATTGCACAACTAAACTAAATTTAAGAACCTGTTCTTAACTTTCAAGACTAAACATGGTCTCGCTCGGGCGGCGTACCTCACTGCTCTAGCGCCCATAGACTATGGTCAACATCCCACAACCACCTTGATCTGGCTCCAGGACCCCACACCTGCAATCGATATGGTGATCGTGCCTTCTCCTCAGTCGCAACCAAACTCCAGAAAAATCTTCCTAGTGGAGTCTGTGATACCCTGTCCCATGATTCATTTAAGAGTGAATTAAAGTCACATCTTTTCTCATTCTTCATTACTTTACCATATTCCAAGCTAGTTAGCCCTTTTCTTAGTGTGGCGTAGCTGTATTACATTATAATATATTGTAATTAGGCCTACAATGTGATTCATTCTTTTATTTCTTTCTTTTTTCTTCTTCTTATTGACTCGATATTTTTGAAGGTGTCTGCATTGCACTGTGTGAAGAGCTGATCTGGCCATAGAGGCTGCACTATGAAAATCCAGGGTGTAAAATTGTCTTGTTAAATGTTATTAGAGTCATAATAATGGAGCTTAAACCAATGGCCTATACTACACGTTAAGCAAAGTGTCCAAGCCACAATTTCTATACCCTTTCCAATAGTAAAGTAAATGATTTCCATTATCCAGAGAGAAAATTATATGATTAAAAATAAATGGAAATCATGTGGATTGCATCTAAAGTAGTTTGATGTTTACTTGTAGATATGTCGTGGTCAAGTGGATCACTGGACTGGGGACCACACGGTACCAGTTTGAGTCCCGCCGCGGCATCAAGGTCCTTTGGCAAGACATGAATCTACATTTGCCACACTCAACCCAGGTGGGAATAAATGGCTACCTGGTAGGATTATTCCTTGAAATGCACTGTGCGCTGCTAATGGCTGCTGGAGCTAAAGCTAGGGTAATCATTTCCAAAGCTCTTCGGAAGCGCATAGAGATGTTATTTCATAATGTATTATGCACTATACAAGAACTGAATATTATATTATTAGTAGTATGGGCTCTGCTTATTCTTTTTTACCAACTTCACATTCAACCTGATTTTCTATCACTTTATTCATATACTAGCTGCAGTGAAAGCCTGGAGATATTTATGTAATTTGTCCATGATCTGTTTCCTACATGTAATAGTTTCCTTCTGTTTAGCCTTCAAGTGTTTTTTTTTTCTCATGAGTGAAATAACTGAAAAATTAAGATCACTTAAAAATATGCATTGGCAGCACTGAGACAAATCTGTGTTTAAATGTGCCAAATGCCAATTACCTGTATGTTTTCTATAAAACTCATCAGACAGAAATAATTTACTAGAAGTTTAAACATTCAGCAAAATCTAACTCGATCCCATGAGAGGTCATTTGCTGTCCTTAACAGAACTAAAATGTAACGTCCTTCATTTAATTAGAGTATTTTTGAATTTCCTGATTTAGTCTAGCCTGTCTAGGGAAGAGTTAAAGGAATTCTAACTTACCGTTACCACAAGATCCTTTTTGATGGTGTTATCAATGAGTATCTGTTCTCTACCGCTTCTGAATCTCCTGTAGTAAGCTAGTGCTCCACCAACCCAATACTTGGTATCTTCTGCAGGGCCTGCTACCTCGTTGAGACCCTTCGTCTCACCCATCTCATGGATCCCAAGAGTACTGCCAAGATCTTTACTTGATAACTTGATGGTGTGACTGCCAGTAGGGATCAACATCACATCTTGCAGACCTGGAAAAACAATAATATGTCTTAATTTTGTCATTCATTCATTCATTTCATTTATTTCATTCTCCATTAAAAGATACAATCAATATAAATACAAATAATTCATATACAAAATTTGAAAATGAAATGGGAAACTACATACATAAAGCTCTTATGCCTTGTACAATCATAGTTTCCTAATATACGAATACATGATATGGAAATAGTTATCATCATAGTTAATGATGTCATGCATTTAGTTATGAAATCGGGTACTGTATAGCGAGTATCCTATTTGCGAAAAGGTGTCACATGACACTCAACATTTTGTTATATGTGCACTAGCTATATTTTTTTTATATGAGCGTGCAATATAACAACCTTTTTTTGCACAGTATAATGCGTACAAAGGTGAATAGACCGCTCTATTATTGAAAGATCAAATGAAATCAGACAAAAATTAATTAAGTTAAGAATTTTTGAAGTTGTAATTACTGTAGATATGGGTACTTCAAGATGGCTGTTCAGAAATGTCTCTGTAGGCGCATTTATACTGTCAAATACCTCATTTTGAAAAGTCGCGATGTTTCGCGCACCCGTTTACACTTGTGCGGAAACATCACTGACTGAAAAGCTCAGTGATGTTTTGGCGTGTTTCAGTTGGTAATGCGCATGCGCGGCACTCCGATGCAAACACTTTCCTCTTTCTATCTTCCCTTGTTATTCTTTGTTTTTCCTTCTATCGCCTTCTCTTATGTTATTCTTTATCACTTCCTTCTATCACTTTCTCTTTCTGTGTTTCCTTATGTTATTCTTTATTTATTCCTTTTATCACCTTCTCTTATGTTATTCTTAGTTTTTTAATCATTCTATCACTTTCTCTTTCTGTCTTTCCTTATGTTATTCTTTGTTTCTTCCTTCTATCACTTTGTCTTTCTGTCTTTCCTGATGTTATTCTTTGTTTCTTCATTTTTGTATCACCTTCTCTTATGTTATTATTTGTTTTTTATCATTCTATCACTTCTTCTTTCTGTGTTTCTTTATTTTATTCTTTGTTTCTTCCTTCTATCACCTTCTCTTATGTTATTGGTTGTTTTTTTATCATTCTATCACTCCCTCTTTCTGTGTTTCCTTATGTTACTCTTTATTTATTCCTTTTATCACCTTCTCTTATGTTATTCTTTTTTTTTTTTTAATCATTCTATCACTTTCTCCTTCTGTCTTTCCTTATGTTATTCTTTGTTTCTTCCTTCTATCACTTTCTCTTTCTGTCTTTCCTTATGTTGTTCTTTGTTTCTTCCTCTGGTATCACCTTCTCTTATGTTATTCTTTGTTTTTTATCATTCTATCACTTCTTCTTTCTGTGTTTCCTTATGTTATTCTTTGTTTCTTCCTTCTATCACCTTCTCTTATGTTATTTTTTGTTTTTTATAATTCTATCACTCCCTCTTTCTGTGTTTCCTTATGTTATTCTTTGTTTCTTCCTTCTATCGCCTTCTCTTATGTTATTCTTTGTTTTTTTTCATTCTGTCACTCCCTCTTTCTGTGTTTCCTATGTTATTCTTTGTTTTTATCATTCTATCACTTTCTCTTTCTGTCTTTTCTTATGTTATTCCTTACGTTATTCGTTGTTTCTTCCTTCTATCACTTTCTCTTTCTGGCTTTCCTTATGTTATTCTTTGTTTCTTCCTCTGGTATCACCTTCTCTTATGATATTCTTTGTTTTTTATCATTCTATCACTCCCTCTTTCTGTGTTTCCTTATGTTATTTATTCCTTTTATCACCTTCTCTTATGTTATTTTTTGTTTTTTATAATTCTATCACTTCCTCTTTCTGTGTTTCCTTATGTTATTCTTTGTTTCTTCCTTCTATCACCTTCTCTTATGTTATTCTTTGTTTTTTATCATTCTGTCACTCCCTCTTTCTGTGTTTCCTTATGTTATTCTTTGTTTTTATCATTCTCTTTAAGGACGACATCTAGCTCCGCTCCTAAAGTTACGTCACCTAACATCGCGATGTTACAACTGCGAGCGTTTATACTTGCCAAACACGCCAAAACACGCCAAAACACGCCAAAAGATCACACTTCGATTTGGAATGTTTTGGAATTGGCATTTCTGCCGGTAATGCGTAGTTGCCCTTGGTAACATCGCGGTCAGGCTCCGGTTTGGCATTTTTTGGCGTGTTTGGATGACAATGTAAATGCCCCTACTGATGTAGTGCTGGACAACTTTCCTCATTTGTTTCAACACAAAAAATGATTAAAGTTTCCCAAAAAAATTCTTCTTCAAAATGTATGACTAAGGAGGGCCTTTCAAACTTTCACCAATCTGTTCCTCTCATTTTTCTGCTTTCATATATATGAACTTATTACAAAGGTGGGATTGCCCTTTAAATTACACGTACACACACAAACCTGTCTACAAAGTTTTTGGAGGTACCTCCTCTCCAGAATACTGACTGGCAAGGAGTTCAGAGTATGTTTAGCTAATCATCCTCTGCTTAACAAACTGTTTTCATTGTAGATCCATGGTAGGATTACTTAATCTTGAGATTACACTAATCCCATTATCTAGCTGTAAGTGAGCTGTTTCCTTAGGGATCAAAGAAGCCTGCTGATAAACCCAACAAAGGGTCTCTTCGGTAGTCTTTTCTACAGTAGACCCATTTACATTGCAACAAAAAAACAATTTGAAAAACCCCTGTTCTTTTTTAAACTATCATTTACACTCCTGTATAAAACTGTCTGTGTTTGCTTGCCAATGAATCATTCAGGGTTTTTTGTTGAGTACTGCTCTACATGTGATAGTGCGGACACTTGGAGAGTTACAAGAACAAAAACCAGATCAATTCACCCACGGTTTGAGAGCAAGTATTTCCTATGCAAAAACTGACAGAGTTTGGCCTGAGTTTAAAACAAAAACACACTTCAGAGGTGGGTTTTTTGTCACTTTTCAAAGCAACTTCCGACAAAAACTTTGGAAAGTGAGAAAAGACCAAAAGTTTTTGCTTCCAATGTAAATGCCTCTAGCGGCAACACATGGCCATGGAGCGAATGGGGGTTTTCTTCTTGACCCAGAGGTCATTTGGATATCCTGATTAGAGATAAGCCTAATTAATCTCATCCAGGTAGTATTCTGGTGACAAATAGGATGAGAAGGGTTATGTTAGGATTACAGTTACAAACTGGTTTCATATTCTCATCATATATGCCTCACCTTCTTCAGATTTTTTTTGCAAGAAACGGTAAAAAAACTTTATTCATAGAGATTTTTTTGTCATCGCTCTGCATCGATACTACAAACTGATTCTTTCTTTCTTTATATGGTAATTTAAGATATAAGTGTTTTATTAGCACCTATTAAGTTCTGATTGAGTGTTTAATGTTACGGTAATTAATAGCAACATTATATTTGTGAAAATGGGTGAAATAGCGCATACATATTGGAGATAGACCTTATGATATAACACTAAGTAAGTGCCTTATTACACTACTACAAGGCGTTTACTTCTTACCAATAATTGTACCCTATATATTATGCAACATGCAACGCAACCATGAAGGGCTATGTGCGTTTAATAGCAACAATTTCTTATTGTCAAAAGATTCATTTTTTGTAATCATAATATTTGTCCTGTTCCCTTAGGAAGAAATCTTACACATGTACATTACAAAAATTATGTATATATATTTGGAAAACAAAGCCAAATATCAACAAAGTGTCATCATTGATTTTTCGTTTCATTTTCTACTCTAATCGATTACAGATCCAATATGTGGAATAATGTTAACATATATATACACACACACACCCACACATATATTTATAAATATATATACATACATATATATGCATATGTATGAAATAAAAAGAATCCTTGCAAGTTTCACATTTAGTACCGGTATTTCTTCTTATTCCATATATCTTTGGATATATGGATTATTAACATCATAATTTATAAGAGGATATAGAACAATGTTGCACATCTTTACCAATGCTGAGCCATTCATAGTACATCATTATAATAACTAGTCATTGCTCATATTGTTATGAAAGTGCAATATGACATGTCAATTAACGTCTATCACCATCAAAATATCAACCCAATTACTTCAAGGTCACCATCGGGTCATATTGAGGTAATAGTTGACCAGCAAATATTTGCCCTGAAAGCTACTGGTGAGTCTTCAACATAAGACCCTTCCTCCCATCACTTACAGGTAGGAGGAAATCAATTATATTGGGCTTTATTTCTCAGTCTGTAAATCTGTCAAAGAAACTTCCAGGTCAAGAGAGAGGTTCAAAATGATCTCAAATCAGATGGGATAATGTACGTTTTGTTATCTGCCACTAAAATCAGAATAAATGAAGTTCGCATATCCCTTCATCCTTCATACAAGGAAAAGCGATGTATTCTCTATCATTGTACCATAATATTTTGAACATTTAAGTGAGAGTGTTCGATGCTCTGATTCCAGCCATACCATGCTATCCTGCCGAATATAGAGAATAATCCACCAGTATTTCTGTATTAACGTAATCTTGAACGATTAGCACCTGGCTTTATATTAAATCAGTTTTCCTGAGAGCCAAAAATCATGATTGAATTTAAGGCAGCACAGATGTCACATAACATGAATAATTTCCTGTTTTGCACATATATTAAAAATAAAAAATAAATAAATCAGAGCAACATTCAGCTATTTAGTTCACTTCCCCTTCAAATTGACAGACACAGGTCATCCAAAATTTCACATCTCATAGGCATGAATAGATATTTTCTTCAATTTCTGTCTCCTCTTTAAGATTCAAAAGGGTTCTAAAAACTAAAAATGCCTGGGCATTATAGCATTTTAATACCTGTTCACTCCAAAGCCCAAAGTTACTGACATGAATAGTAGCAGGATTGCTTTACTTCAGGCTTGGTCCAGACTTCTAATCTTAATCTTCTTTGAGATGAGGAAATTAGAGCATTCCAAATTTAGTTTAAAGAATGGTATATCACATACATTACCAAGTAA